TGATTTTTACAGTGACTAGAAAGCAGACAATGCCCCACAAGACAGAGCACAGACAGAATCGATAGTCACCTTTCCCAAGAGCATGAAACTAAAATACCATCATGGAAAATCACCGGATTCAGAGGAAAGAACAATCTCTCCAAACACAAGTTTGAACTTTATCTCCTTCACTTCCCAGCTTGAGAGCCCAGGCCACTAAAACATGATTGAAGGGAAGGATGCCTAGAGTTACTGTGATATTTGAGAAGAACAGGATATAGAACATCAGATCAAAATAAATGTGTATTGCATCTTGCAAAAGAATTTACTCTGGGTTAATTTCTTATAGAAAAATTCTCACCAAAATATCATTTCTGAGCTATTCTTTCGGTTTCTGGACTCTGTAGCAATAGGGATTCCAACAGTGTCAGAAAAAACATAGATTGAGCTGAAATTAAAAAGAATGTTCTCAACTTCACAAATTTATAAATCTCTATTTTAAATGAATGTTGACCAACAGAGTAGCTACTTTATAGATAGATGGACGTTTTCAAGAAATAATTCCCTTAAAACGTTTGCTTTTCTGTGCACTAATCTGTGCAATTTTCATTTTCTCTAAATTGTAGGGGACAGCACGTACCTGGTGTTGTTCATTGCTCTGGTTAGAGAGGTTCGCTGTGAAAATCCTAACTGCTCAGTGTATTAAAGAGTATTCCTCAAGTGGTTGGGAATGTTACACTCTTCCTTTAGCCTGCTGCTCATTTTTTGCTTCTTAGTCTGTCCAATAATTTTGTGGGCTATTTCCACCATTACACGAAAGCCCAAGAATATATAGTGTTTCTTAAGTAGAAAGTAGTTCAGTAAGAGTGAAAACAACCATGTCCTGAATAGCCTAAGAAATATCAAATAGTGAGATAAGATATACAGGCACATAATTAAAAATAAAGGACACAAAGTAAAACTGCTTAGGAGAGAAAACACAAGATTCAGTGCTCAATTTTTTTGCTTAATGTCGGAAAACAAACTATTTCTCCAAATCTTTGCATAGAATAGATGGAATGGGGAAAATATTATTGCAAGATGTATTTGAAGAATGAATAAAATAATCTTGTATACATATTGGTAGATTGTAGCTGTGGAGCCAAGAGTAGCAATTAATTATTACAAATATGTGTTGAGGCCATTTAGGAGTTTATTGCTCATAATATCTATATGTACTTAAATATAGACAAATTCAATATAAAATAATCTGCTAACTAATTAGGATAAATATAATATGATTCTTTTTTTATAATTTATTTTTATGTGTATGGCTATTTTACCTGTATGTATATGTTCCAAATGGCTGGCAGGTGTCAGCTGAGGCCAGAGAAGGGTAGATACCTTAGAATGGAGTTACAGATGATTGTTTGTGCCCGAGTGGATCCTGACAATTGAACACAAGTCCACTGAAAGAGCAGTTATGGCTCTTAACTACTGCCAGCCACATAATGGTAACGTTCCTAAGGAAATACAGATATTATCAAAGGCCATGCTCCAAATATTATTATACACAGCATACACGGAGACATTGAGTCCATGATGAACTGATTGCAGAAGCCTTTTAATATAACAATATATGGCTACTTGTATAGCTACTTTAGAAACCAATATGGCAGTTTCTCACAAAATTATAAATAAATTTACAATATATCCAAGCATATGTGACACAATGAAAGCAGAGAATTCTCAACAGAATAAACTCAAATGACCCAGAAACATTTAAACAAATATTGAATATCCTTAGGCATTTGGAAATTCAAATAAAATGACTCTGAGATTTCATGTTATACATTTCAGAATAGGTAGGATCAAAAACAAAATTTACAGTTCATGGTGGAGAGCATATGTAGCAAGGGGACACTCCTTCATTATTGATTAGAGTGCAAACTTATGCATTGGAAATCAATATGCTGGAGAGGTCGTGGGAGGGATTAAGGAGAGAGGAGAAAGGGAAAACTGTGGTCAGGATATAAATTAAATACATAAACCCTTAAACAAACTAACTAAAAACAGAGAGAGAATATCAAAATTAACAAGATAAGAAACAAAAATGGGACCATAAGAACTAACAATGAAGAAATCCAGAAAATTTTTATGGCATAATTTGAAAATGCGTTAATACACAAAACTAAAAAAATCAAAAAATAATGAATAATTTTCTCCATAGGTACCACTTACCAAATTTAAATCAATATCAGATAAACAATCTAAATAGACCTATAACCACTAAAGAAATAGAAGCAGTCATTAAAAGACTCCCAACAGCAACAACACAACAACAATAAAACCAGGATCAGATGCTTTTAGCACAGAATTCTACCAGAATTTCAAAGGCAAGTTAATGTCAATAGTCCTCAAATTATTCCATAAAATAGAGAGCAGGAACATTACTCAAGTCATTTTATGAGGGCACAGTTACCCTGATACCCAAATCACATAAAGCAGTGGTTCACAACCTTTCCTATGAGGCCTGTTGTTAATATAATTCTTCATGTAATGGTAGTCCCCAACCATAAAATTATTTTCATTGCTACTTCATAACTGCAATGTTGCTACTGTTATGAAATTTAATGTAAATATTTGATACGTAGGATGTTTGATATTTTATCCTTGTAAATGAGTCATTTGACATGTAAAGGAATTATGACACCCAAGTTGGGAACCACTGACATAAAAGTTCAACAAAGAGATTTACAGACCAATTTCCCTGATAAACATAGATGTAAAGTAGTTAGTAAAATACTTGCAAACCAAATCTAAGAACACATAAAAAATATCTTCCACCATGATAAAGTAAGCTTAATCCCAGAAATGCAGGGATGGTTCATTATACAAAAAAACATTAAATGGAATCCTAAATATATTTTCAATTAAATAAAATATCAAAATAGTCCTCTATGTAAACAAGTAAAAATAATAGCAGAGTATGAGGAAAATGTTACTTTATGTGGATAGGGAAGTAGGAGAGGATTTGGATTAGCTGGAAGAGGTAGATGTGTATTACTTAAACATATTGTAATGGCAGTCCCCACCAACCTTCAAGCAGGGGAGAGACCTGCCACCAGTATGTGCCCTCACTCCCACCAAACACTGTACTCTGTCCCTCCAAGGCCCATTCTGCCACCCAACCCCATGCACCTGAGCATACTCCCCAATGGCAAACACTCTCCCACAACCTCAACAGACTACTTAGGCACAGGTACAAACCACACCAGGTTAGTTGGACTCCCCAAAGTCCAGACTCTAATTAAACCCCAGGACATACCCTATGCTCCTTCCACTTCCATCCACAGATGCAAGACATCATGCTTAGAAAGGTAAAAATATACACCTGACTCTCTCCCTGAAGGATTGGAGTGAAGGAGTTATGGGTTCAGTATAGTGGAGTTATTGGTTGTGTGATTTCCTTTCCATTGAATTCACAAATACAGCTTCTTGCCTGTGCAAGATCACAGAAAAGTGTACAAGAGTAACCTTCATTTTATTGTTTTTTGGTTTGCCATACTGAGTATTTTCAAATGTAATAATTTTTTTTTGCAAATAAATTTAGAGGGTGGATAAAAAAATTAGCAAAAAATGTTGTCAAAAGTCAAAGTAATTCTTTGCCTTCACACATTCAGACCCAACAAGAGAAAATTTTTTCAACAAAATTGTTGAAATAACTTTAAATGAGCATACAAATCACTATATTTTTATTCTGCAGTGCATGAAGCTAAAATGAATCAATTGTTTAGAAAACGTGAAGTTATTTGGATATTGAAATCGCAATGGAATAAACTTTTAGATAAATTCAACTTACCAAATTTACTTGAGTAATATAAAATAATTCATGGCTAATCAAGCCATAAATGATAGTGGATTAGTTTAACATTGTGGGCTTTTGTTCTTCAGTGGAGTCAATACTCGCTGGAGGCATTGTACATATATTATTTTATGATTAAATACACAAATATTTGTACTGATGATGGCTGTATTGAATATTTTATAAATAATGTACATAAATAAGTGATGGATATCATTCCCATTTTTCCAAAAACTAAATTCAATTATGGTTCAGGAATTCAACCTCAACAGACAAAATAATATGATCATTGTAAAGTATCCTCATTGAATATTTGAAAGAAATAGAGGCTGGCAAGATATCTCAATGGGTACTTGAAACACTAGCCTGGAAATCTTATTTTAATCCCTGGAATTCATACTAACATGGACGGAGAGCGCGGGCACAGAAATGATTGACAAGTGACTGAGGCTCACATACCACCAAACCATATTTGCACAGCCATCTCACGTACACATACACAAATGCATACCCACTAATGACTTTTAATTTTAAAAGGAGAGAATATTTGAAGGAAAATTCATGTATTCTGAGTAATCTATATTTCAAATACATGGATAAACTAGTTCTGATGGTGGTTACATGCTTCTTGTCACTATAACATGGCTTTCAAAAAGAGAAAACATAGATTTTTATTAGAAATGCATATCAAAACTGCGGAGATGCATGATATACGACACCACAAACTGAACAGACCATCAAAACGTAGGGCAAATTATGAAAAGCTTGTTAGGGATGTCCTTTCAGCACAAGAACATAGCTGTTCGTGCCTCATTTGAGCGGCAGATTATCTCTATAAAAATCCCAGGGGACTCATACCTACCTCACAATCATGCTTTTTGCTATGAACTGCAAACCATTCTTGAGGATGTTTGTGTGGATGGATCAATTCCAAGTGCAGATTCTTTTCTCCTTATATTCCTGGTTTGTTATTTTCCTTCTTGATAACCCTTAATATGAACAGTTGTATCCCTGATCAAGCACATTGATCCATTAACTGTGTGGATTGATGTCATGAAACAAAATAAATTGTTCTTCTAAGAAAACTATTTTTTATTGATTTTTATTGAGCTCTACAATTTTCTCTGCTCCCCTCCATGCCTCTCCCCGTCCCCTTCATACCTCCCTCAGGGTCCCCATGCTCCCAATTTACTCAGCAGCTCATAAACAAAAATTGGAACAATACAGAGAAGATTAGCATGGTCCCTGTGCAAGAAAGCCATTTTTATGATGTATTTGGTCACATCCATAAAAAGGTAAAGACTATACACTTCAACAAAAATTGTTTTATTGTGATTATTAGCATTAAATAGAAATGTCGGTTAATTCTTTTTGTTGCTCATCTTCTCATCTTAATTACTTAAGACTCCTCTGTCTGACTTATAGTCTTTGCCAGGGCCCATAGGTATGGGTTCATTCTATCTTGAATAAAGGTCAGAGAGCTGAATCTTACTTCTGCTCTCTCAAGATTATAGTCAACACGTGTGGCTAATATTCAGAAGTGGTTCTGGTATTAAAGATATGTTTCCACCTCAATCAAAAGTCTAAGGATCCAACTACTCACTTAGGTTCCTACTCACTTAGGGAGATAACTATGGATTCCACCCAAGGAGGGTTGTGCCTACAGAATGTTTTGGTTTAGGGTGTGAGTGTTACCTGTCTTGTTCTGGGAACAGAATATTTAACTAAGTATGTAGCCTGCAATTCTTCAACTTGTTTCTTCATTTCCTTGTATCATCTCAATGCTGTTTTTAATCTTACTCCTATTTTGGGGGGTCAGGAGTATTTTAAGCAAGTGGAAATTAAACTCAGGTGACTTCAATATTCACTGGAACTACCTCTCGGTACTATCCCATGTTTTTGTTTTATTATTTTCACTCGTGTCTTCATTTTCTTTGATTTTCTAATCTACATACCCCTACCTTGATAAGTGGTGTGCTTTTTCAAAACTGATCTCCAACAAGTCTTTCTTATTTATATTTGTTCTTGAACCACAGACTTATTGTTTCCATTTGCCATGCCTTAGTTAAAGACCTCTCTGCTTCTTCTATAAATACCACAACAAAAACTATTGTCTAGATGCTTCCCCTTCTTGAACTTGAACAAAATGTCCTCCGTGACCTTCTTACTCTAGGAACAGAGATCTTTAAACCAAGAATTAGACATAGTTTAAGTTACTTCGCCATGCATAACTTTAAAAAAAAATCTGTGACATTATTATGCCAGGAATTCTTGTCTTGATATTCTAATTATATTCAACTTGTTCAGGTAAATATATTATATATATCATGGTGGAGAATATATTTGACATTAATTGGTTAGGGATTCCTTAAAGTTTAATAAAGATCTGAATGTCAAATAGCTAGGCAAGTTTGGGTTTAGGTGAGACTTCTGGACAGAGATCTCTGTGAAAAACGAAGGTGTTTCTAGACTCACATAAATGAAGTAGCACATGCAGGAGGCGATGTAAAAGCCATAAGCTATGTGACAACACATTGATTAATAGAAGAGGGTTAATTTAAGTTATAATAGCTAGTTAGAAGCAAGCCTAAGCTAAGGCCAAGCTTTTTTAAAAATAGAAAGAAAATAATATATAAAAAAATATTTGTAAATAATATTACTCCTGTCACTACTTAGCTATTAGAATAAGACAAAATCGTAGTGCTAGGGAGAGCATTTAAAGCAGTAAATTTAATGGTAGATCTGGAGAGATGACTCATCAGGCACGCACTGTTTGCTGCTCACAAGAACCTTAGTTCAGAGATAGTAGCCATATAAAAATTCATTCATGGCTACATGCCAGCAAACCCAGTGTTATGGAAGATGGAACAGAGATAAGAGAATGGTGAGGCTTGCTGGTTAGAGACCACAAACCTAGCTCTCGGTTCAGTGAGAGACATTTTCTCAAGGAAATCAATCAGATTGACAGAGTCAGGCACCTGAAACCCTCCTCTGGCCTCCACCTGCACGAGCAGAGATACACTCACCCATGTGACACTCGATCATGAACACCCACTTGGATGCATACACACACAAAAATACTGACTGAAAAGAAATAATAAAGATGCCTCTGTTCTAAGATGACATCATTGTCTACGTAGAAAATCAGTAACAAGATAGAGTAACATTCAATAAAATCACTAAACACATCCTGAGATTTCTCATTGCTTCATTTTCTCATTGTATTCATCATGTCTGTAAATAGCCTTTCTTCCATGTTAAAGCTCTCTTCAGAATTCCTCTACTGGCCCCAACATCATGATTTCATAACATTTATTACAGTGTTCTAAAAACTGTGGTTTAAATTTCAGCACACAAATTATGTCATCATTATTTATGCAATTCTTTAAGATTTTTCAAAATTTGTATGAGTATTTTGCCTGCATGTATGTATATACACCATGTGCATGTGTGTATCATGTGTGTATAAACATCATGTGCATGTGTGCATGCAGTACTGACAGAGACCAGAAGTGGGCATAGGAATCTTTGGAAATCAAATAGCAAATTGCTGTGAGACACTGTGTAGGTGCTAGGAATTGAGACAGGGTCTTCTGCAAGAAAATAAATGTTCTTAACTGCAGAATCATGCAATAGTTTAAACCATATTATTGAATATATATAAACATGTGTATGTATGTGTGCACATGCATATATGGAATCAATAATCAAGGCTTCATTATTCAAAGAAAAGATTGAAAAGTCATCTGCTGTAGAAAGTCTTAAAGCCAACGGTTACCCACCCCCTGGGGTGTGGTCTCTTATACTATATAAGCCTATGTAGCGCATCCATCCACTCTCTTTTTCCACCTGCAGGATGTGGTTTAATCTAAAACAACAATTAAATCATATCCTTCATTGAATTTCTACCATTAGAACTAGTGCTGCACCAGATAATATTTCCATATTGAATCTTCTTTTAAATTTTCATCTCTATTTTACTGAGCAATTTAAATATGAATAGGTTGCTTAAATTACATTTCTAGCTAGAGATATCAGATTGTAAAAGTTAGATAATCCACTGATTCCACCGGCTTTGAAAGAACAGAAATTGCCATAGTGTGGTTAATTTTTATATTGCATGCATGAAAAAGAGTTTATTACTGAGAAAAATTGAAGTTGAATATAATATCTGAAGTATTTGTCTTTAGGCTCTCTGGTTTAAAAAAAGATAAAATTCTGTTATAGAAGAAAAATACTTAACTTTCTTTTTGATAGAATCAGCACTAAGAATTAATTCTATTCAAAATTTATTATCAGAATACTTGATCTGAAACACAATTTTCACACTTTTTTTAAGTAACATTTAGTAAGAACTTAGAAAATATAATGATGGAGTGTAGAAGTTCACATTCTTGGGAAAATGTACTTTTTAGAACATGAGTATCGCATCTGTTTAGTACATGTGTTCTTCAAAACATACACAGTATCCATATTAGGGTAGTAGCTTATATTTTCTGGGTAAATGAATAAATGAGGCAGGTTAAGTTGAGAGTCCTCTTCAGGTCTGAGAGTCTTGAACTCCTTTTTGGACTCACTTTGTAAAAGAACTCTCAATCTTGTGTTTCCCAATTCCACTGTAATTTAGAGAAATCACATATGGTAAAATAAATTGGTAACCATCATAAAGTGTACAGCAGTATACAGCTCATTTAGTACTGTATAGAGTATTCAACACTACCAGTATTAGTGCATTCCAGTGTGTTGTGCAATCTTCATCACACTGACCTTTCACAGTACTTCCAGTACACCTTAAGGGAGCCTAAAACCATTCCCGTCTGTCAATTTTTATTCTCCCTACTTCCAACCTTTGAGAATCATCTATCTATCTCTATGTCTGAGCTTTTACCTGCTCTGGACGTTTCCTGTTATTGGAGCTATAGACTCTCTGCATTGTCTATCTCTAGAATTCTGAAACAGAAGAGACTGAGAAGCTAAAACCTATTTCTTTCTACTTTTATCTATAAAAAGATGTGGTTTGTTCTAGCTTGTTCATTAAATGCTTAGTATGGAATATCTGTTACAGTTTAGATGTGAGGGAAAAGTCTGTGGTATGTTGAAGAGATGCATACGAGGGAGAAAAATATAAGGATTGAATATTCATTTTACGAGTTATCTGGACCTATGTGTGCAAAGTATCCATTTATAATCATGTTATAGAACAGATTTTCAAATATATTGAATAAGTGCATATGAAATAACCATCATTTTAACTGTTAAAGTGAGCACTTCAAGCTTATTTATTTTGATGCTACATTTGGCAGTAATCTTACAACAAAGTCCAGGTCTGTTTTTACATACTACATTGCTTAATGATGATTCTTCAATTTATTTATCTACCCATTTGGTCAAAAAGAAAGGACAATAAATTCAAGGCCCATACCCCACAGCCCAAACATACAAACAAACAAAGATGACTGAGTTGTAGAAAACTGAAAGGGACCCTACAAGTGGCCAGGAAGGGAAGCTAATGGCAAAGAGGTCCAAATGAAAACTCAGTTCATGTTGACATCGTCAAGCTGGATCAGACTAGGGGAGTCTGGTACCAGGCAGTTTATCATCCGTGTATTTAAAACACATCACAATTTGCTAAAAAGTTTCCAAGCAATGATTACTCCCATTCCAGGTCTCTAGGCTACAATGATCACAATTTCAGGTACACAATAAAACTTAAAGTGTGACTACTTAGAAACTTCTTTACAAAGCGCATGTGTCCATGAGGGTTGGTTCTATAAGTCAAAGGCCTAGAATCTAGTGTTGTCTCTGACCAACAGCAAACAGGTCAGCAGACCAAAAGCCACATAGGACATCTCCCCTAAGGATAGATTTTATTAACTGTGAACTAAAGATAAAGGTCTAGAGGGAGAGAATATGGGATAAACATTCTGCTGAATTTGGATAAGGTCTGCCTCTATAGAAAAAGGTGGTTGAGGTTTGCCTCCACAGACACCAAAAAGTCACCAGGCCATTAACATCATCCATTCCTATCCTTCCCGATGGAAAATGGGGAATTTCTCCTTTGAGGGGAGGCCTCTGCATGTTTAGCATTGTTGTTCCCTGGAGCTCTGTGGGCACAAGGACCTTTATCGCTCTCACAGAAAGGGAATGTTCTTCTGTGTGCTCTGTTTGAGTCCCTATCTTGGTTCCCCTTGGTGATGAAATGTAGCTTATATATATACTGAAGAATTCCATCTCTTCCGAAGCTGGACATTGTCCGTGTTTTTTCCAAGCACTAAAAAGCAAAATCAAA